ACTTTTTACGTCTTTTCCATAACTCAGGAAATGTTAAAAAGAATTGAAATAATTTCTGTAAATTAAAAATAATTTAAAAAATAACTCGTTTTTATCCAAAGATAATTTCATATAAAATAACTTCTTTTCCAACTTTATATTGTAATTTAATTTAATACCTGCAACTCATTCATTTTATGCCATTGTTTTACCTCTTGACGAGTTTCATTTCAACCTCCAACTAATATATTCAGCTAAAAATTAGCACCATAATCGCATCAAATGAAACAAATTTCTTTCTCGCCTTAATGATAGTTTTCCAACAAAAAGAAAACTTTCAAATTAACCTTATCTTTCTAAACCCAAACTCACTCCTAACCGTAAACCAGAAAACATTTCCAAATTACCGCCAAGATTCGAAATCGTCTGCCATTTGGAAAAGCCGTAAATCCACCCAAAACCGAAATACCGTTGCCCCATTCAAGTTGTAACCCTTTCTGGAATTCGTTACTCAACAAATGGGGAGCTAATTAAAAGCAACGATCTCTCCCAAAAGCGGCCGTTTATCAAACATCAAATCGTAGGCCGCCAAGAGTCCCGCCTTCGAATTAGAACCCTTTACGCTAATTATTGACATCTAAGTCCAAATAAACATTGAGTGGTAAAAGGTAGTGGATGCAGCTTTTGAAAGACCACCAAACCACCAATTATGGCGGCTGCAAGTATCCTGAACTTAGGGAAGGGTAAGGCTAGTGTTTGAGGATCGGCTTTAATAAACAAGGTTTGGCAATTTTGTGTTCTGCCAAGTTCGCTATTTGTGACTGGGATTGTTAAGTTATAAACGTCAAATAAATAGTTTTCAGTTTCAATTGTATATTATGCAACGATTCAGTTTTATAAAAACAAAAATAGTTAAATTATAAATAAGTATCTAAATTTCTGTTGTGATGAGTATGCATGTATTTTTAAAATTTTAGAAGTTTAACAATCCCTACTTTCATTTCTAATTTTTTTCTCAAAATGCGTCAATTTTTAATATACAATAATTTAAAATAGTACATCATTTATAAAAAGAAAAGCATTTCAACTTTTCATCCGATTTTTTATTTTTTATTTTTTAATTTTTTGCTTGTTAAAATTATTGTTAAAACTATCCTAATTGAAAGCATCGAGTTAATATTTAAGCGAAAGAAGAAAAGAAGTTATCGGGACCTAACAAATTCCTGCTGAGGAAGGCGAAACTGAAAACATCAAAACCTATTTGATTGCCAGAGTTGAAAGGCGGTTATTAAAAACGTCACTTTTGCCAGACAATCAAGCTAGTTTTGATACTTTGCGCTCGTCTTCCTTATTAATGATTTGAGAAATTTCGAAAGCTTGTCCTTTTCTTCACTTGTATAGTTATTAGCTACCTTTAATATGTATACTTTTTTACAATCAAGATTCCAACGATATTTATTAAAAACCACCCTTTTATAGCAATCATTGAACAGCCGACACAATTTTGGGCTTACGACTACTTAAGTTTAACTACATATCCTTGTAATTTTGAACCTAATCCAGAAGACAAGGAACTCCCGAATTTAGTATTGGGAGAAATTTGCCTTCATGGAGGACTTTTTGATGGAAATAACCCGCATTTGCGTAACATGGAGAGGAAAATCACGCAAAGCGCCCACTGATCTGACGCAAGGGGACTTTAGCCCATGATCCCTCTACCACTGAGGATTTTTTACGTCAGCACTGTAGTCAGTGCGAGCCGGGTACGGAATTCGTATTGACCATCCATCGCTGGGATTCGAATCCAGTTTACGTCATTGGATAGCGAACTCTCAATCCTTATTGAATGGCGAACGACTGTTGCAGAGCATTATGTATAAGGAATCTGACATTTTTTAGATTGATTGGTACATTAAAATTATTCGTTTTTTTATTTTGTTTTAATTAATTTATTTATTTATTTTCAGTGAAAAACTTTAATTACTTGAAGAAAGTACTTTTAATAAAACTATATATCTATGATATGTTGTACAATAATTAATTTTAGTTGTACAATAAGTCCCCAAACGACGTTGGGTGCATTCTTTAAATAACGCAAATTTCTAATGTATTTTTATTTTTTGTTTGCTTTATCTAATGCATAGTTTTTATGTAGTATGGTTTTTATGTAATATACGATCATATAAAGTTCAGATCATAGAAAGTTCTACACGAGAAAGGAAAAGATATGGTAACATTTCAGAAAACTTAAAGCTATTCAAAATCAAGATTGAAAAAATTTGAAGAAAAAAAAAAAAAACTGGGTTATAAAAAGACAAAATGCTTTCAACTATCTATCGTTGTATTCTCCCTGGTTCGTTTTCATGAGAATATTTGCTCAAACAATACTGAAATTGTTCAACAGTAGTATGGCAACACAATTTACAGTTTACCATACGTGTATGTTCTTATCTATTACAAAATAAATAGGTTGTTAAAGTGAACATAAGTTAACAATGGCATTGAGTGGACCATAACATATGAACCGGATGTCGCGTGAATTCTCAAAACAGAAAAAATTGAACTGTAATGGAGCGAACAGTCAGTCAAGGGGAGGGGAAACTGAACAACTTTAATATACCACTGTATGTCACTTAAACATTTTTTTTCAGCAGGATAATTTTATTCGATCGATATTTACTTCCAACGCAACACGGTGTGACTAAACTGTTTGGGGGACTACTGCCAGATTTTTTTATAACTTACTTTATTCCTTACAGCTGAGCGAATGTTCGAATCTGAAAACAACCATTGGTGACAAAGGCTACAAATTAGCGAAAGAAAAAAAAATGGTTTTGAAAAAAAAAGAAATGTCTAACGCAGATGAGCATTTAATGACAAAGTGTCTTCGGACTTAGTTGAAGAATTTGTTCTTGATTGTTCGAAAGTTCTTTTCTTTTCTATTCTGTTTTCTTGATTTCTTTTTTTAATGCCTGCCCATCTTTTGAGCGTAAAATTATTTTCTACCTCATTTAGAGCATTACGCTCCGCTGCTTGTGTTAAGAATGCGGTTCAATGTATGGTTTACCTTTACTGGAAGGGATAACCGTAAAAGAGCTCCGGCGCATAATCATTATTTAGGAAAGTTTTTTTATTATTATTATTTCTTTTTTTAAAGAGAGAAAAAAAGGCTTCAAAACTTTAACGAGGTTTTTCGCGAAAAAGAGAAGAGGAAGAAAAAAAAAAGCCTAACTTCAAAAAGATTTGCACAAAAAAAATTTTCCTAAAAGAAAATATTTTGGAGAAAACTAAAAGTTGATGGTAAAATTAGCACTTTAAGAAAAACCATGCTTTAAGTTGATGCTGAAGATTTTAAAACAATACATCAAAATTGTGACAGTCAACATAAACAATGCTTTAAGTACTAGCTGAAGATTTTAAAACAATGCATCGAAATCGTGACAGTCAACGCTGCATTAAAATGAATTCTGTAAACCTCTCACTAAAGATTCGATAAATGAATATTCAGCTTATTATGTTAATAAGTTGACTCAAACTTCCAAACACGTATCGGTACAATTAGTAAAAGAACATGTAAAAAATATGTTTCTGAAAATTCATAACAAAAAGTGCCAATACTCAGAGTGAGTCTTTTTAACTGCAAATATAACCGTAAAAATTTGCGTACATATTTCTTCCAAAAAAAATTAGCATAGAAAAAATAACATTTTCAGTGAAGATACACTTAATCATTGCTCAGATCTGAACGAGTTATGACTCCAATACTACATCGGCATACAATAAAAACTGTAAAGTATACTGGATTTAATAACGGTAAAAAACACGGACTATCAAGGTACCAGTACTTTTCACAGTAAAATCCATTTTATTCCGGAACATGCTACGGAACAAAAAAAATTTATTCAATATTTTTTACAGTAATAATTGCGGTAAAATCACTGAATTACTTTAATTAAATAAATATTGAAGTAAAAATTATGGTTTGATATTTTACGGTGAAAATGGATTTAATGAATGATGCACACCCAAAGTGCCGGTACTTTATACCATAATTTGATCCGGAATTTTTTTATAGTGCAGACGATTTTAAAATCAAATAAAATATGTTAGAAAAACTATCATAAAGTAAAAGCGAATGAGAAAACAGTTATTATGACTCTCTATTGACATTTGACTACTTTCTCTGTATTACTGTGAAAGTTGTATAGTACTGTATAAGTTGTATGCATACGAAAATAAATAAATAAATTGTATCTGAATTGATGCTAAATTGCAATTCTGAATTAGTGCTAAATCAATATTATAATATTTGTTAGGACATAGTCGATTATGTTTGATTACTTTTAACCGGAAAATGTTACAAAACAAAACAAAATTGATGTTCCTTAATTTTTACAGAAACAATTACAGTAAAACTGAATCACCCTAATTAAACAAATATTACTGCATTAATATTAATTTTTACAGGAATAGTTACAGTAAAACTGAATCATTCTAATTAAGCAAATATTACTGTAAAAATTACGGTGTAATATTTTACCGTAAAAATGGATTTTGTGGATAATGAACCCTAAGTGCTGGTACTTCATACTGTAATCTTTTGCAGTGTAGACGACTTTAAAATGAGATAAAATATGTTAGCGCTAAGCGAATGAGAAAACAGGTATTATTGCTCTCTATTGATATTTGTCTAACAACTTTCTCTAGAAATACTGTAAAAATTAGATAGTTCCATATATATATTAAAAAAAATTGCATCTCTAATTAATGAAATTAAATTGAATCTCTAATTGAAATCCCTCTAATTGAATTCGTTTTATGATATTTGTAAAGATATGTTCGAATATGTTTCTATGGTAGAGTAGAATATTGGATTTCTTTCACGCGCTTTAACTTTAAAATAAAATAAACTTGACTCTTGGGTAACCGACGTTGGTTTCGCAACTCTTATTTTTATCCAATTAACATCTATGTGACGTCATGTGTCTAATGAAATCAACCAATGAAAAAAGGCTACTCACTTCTTGGTTCTCTGGGTCCATCTACGGTGACTTTAATGGCTTTGTTGTAAGTAACCACTTGAGGAGGACTTGTACTAATCGAAATAGTTAATGTGAAGCTCTTTCCTGAAATAAAAATCAAGAAACTCAAAACTAGGTAAGCAACGCTGAAATACACAACAAAGAAAAAAGTATTCGAAGTAACTTTAAAACTAGTTCGTAAAGTCAATAAAAATGTAATGTGAAGAGTTTGACAAACATAATGTAAAGAGTCTACTGAATAGAAAAGACATTATTTTATGAACGCTCGCGTTTTCTTTAACAATGCAAACGACCACCATTTAAAATGTAACGTCTATTTTCTCCCAATCCCCTTTCGCAGTTTCAATTTCAGATAAAAAAGAGAGAGTAAAAAGAGGATTTTTTTTTTATTGCTGTATGGTGAGTGGAAATAGAAGCATTGTCAATGACTAGGTCATTCCAAAAAAAAAGAAAAAAAAAAAAAAACCTAAGTAATTAAGCGCCACTCCCATTGCACACCTGGCAACAAATAAATAACAGCAACAGAAAAAACTCCATTAGTTCTACTGGTAAGGTATATTAAGGTACCTCTTAAAAACTTGTGTTAAAACGGCAGAAGTATTATTGTAAATGCATCAAACTAAACCATAACTGCAACTAACAATTCAAAATTTATATAATTAATGAAAATGTTTTAAAAATATTTTCTTTATCCTGGTTATTTCATTTAAGTTTGTTGCAGATCTCAAACCATCTTTAAATGATAAAAATGATGAACATTTTATTGAATTAAAATTACTATCGATTTACATGTATGAGTACTGAACAATAATAATAATATAAATTAAATAAATGAAAAAAAAAAGATAATATTTGTTAATAAGGCCTACCACAGGGCCTTGAATAAAAGAAAGTGCGTTAATGCGATCCAACTCTACAGCTAGACAATTGCAATATTTCCATTTTTACTATTTTTTTTTCCACAGGAGCAATGATTAAAAGAGAAAAATCTCCTCTCTAAATTTACTATAGTCATGCATGTTGAGGCATATTACACAAATTATTTCAATCATTTATATCGTATTGCTTTCAAATTAAACTCTATTAAGAATTTGTATTTAGGACAAATAAATCTATTAAGAATTCGTATTTTTGACAAAAATCTATTAGAACTTTGTATTTTGAATTTATTTTTCGCTTTATTATGTTCTTGTTATGAGAGCAAGAGTTATAAAAATAAATTATCTTATAATAGTTTCTGTTTTGATACTGGGAAAAAATAGATACAGTTAAATTAGTGAATGTAGAGTTTATAAGTGTCTAAAGATGATATAATTATTGCTAATCCGAAAACCTATATTGAAAATACTCAAATTATTACACAAACATTCCAATCTTATTGACAATTACAAAAGCAAATCCATTGTAATTAAATTAATAAACTTGCGATTTATGTACATCAATCTATTTCCAAAAACAAATCGAAGTAAGAGATTAACAAGTCATTATTTAGAGCATAAATAAATTGTTTAAATCTTCATAGATTAAAAGGGAATAAAATTCTTTCGCTTAAGCTTCTAACCTTATTTAGAATTGTGGGATAAAGAAAACCACTGACCAGAAGAACAAAATCGGATCCCACATTTAGGCCGGATGAAAGGAGAAGAAATTCCACAGCCCGCATATTCCTCAACTACACATCCGCCTTAGCCATTTTTGTTTTTTGTTTAGTAATTTCAAATGAACCAAGTGTGATATCCCGTAGCACAACTTTCCCAGACTTTGAAACTCTTTTTTCTTTCCTATCTTCGGTCATTTTAGTTTTGGAAATATGTCTTATACGTGATTTTGTAATGGCTCGAAAATTTAAGACAATCCGTTTGGTATATGAAATAAATACTCAGCGGACGAATTAAAACATCTAATTAGAATTTCTAATTAATAGAAATAATGAAATTTAGTTTTAAAAAAACACATAGCTTAAAGCTATTTTTTCCAAAATAAAATCTTGCTTTCATATTTTTCGTTTTAAAGAAGAAATGAATGAAATTAAAAGAAGCTTTCAACATTCTATTAAAAATTTTTTAGATAAGCTATTAACATATTTTCTGTATGAAAATATGCAAAAATGAGCTTCTAAAATGTTTTTATGGAAAATATTGTAAAATAAACTTTCAACATGTATTAGATAATGTATATATATATANAAATATCAAAATATATTTTTGTTTGTCATTAGAGCGTTAGATATATATATATATATATATATATAAATGAGGTCTCAACATATTTTATATAAAAGCTAAGTTAAACCCAAGATATTAAATTTGTGTCGACATTAAAATCTGTTTTGAATCTACTAGCCAAGTAATATCTTAAAATGATCTGTTTTATGACATAATTTGTACAACTTAAAATCTGTTAGCCAAGTAATGTCTAAATACATGCCACACATGGCAAGAAGAAGGCAGATGATAACTTTAAAAATCAGAATGTCTTCCTGTGAATTTGAATGAATAGATAGATATGTATCTACATCAACTCTCTTCTGAAAATATACTACATTTAAGATTTATACAAAAAGGAAGAGTAAAATATTTTTTCTAAACCAAAAAAGGGGAAGGAAATCTTAAGTTTGGATTCGAATTCGTATTCATCGTTTGACAAAGTGTGGAAATAGATAAGACAGGCAATTCCTCCTTATATCAACCACATTTTAGTCTCAATAAATTTTTCAAAAAGTCACAGAAACGCCAAGAGGTAAACAGCCATTCAAATACAAAAAGCAAACTTTTTTTTTACCCTGTATATCACCGGCACAAAAAGAGACAAGCGAAATAAAGTTGAAGAATATGTAAATAATAAAAAAAAAAAGAACAAGATAAAGAAATGCAACTATTCCCTTCATGCTAATTCACTTTTATCTTCTGACAGCAGCGAAGAGAAAAGCTTTCTCTGATTTTTAGCTAAACATAAGAAAAGAAGGGGAAAACTCTCGCGTTATTCCGCAGCGCGGAGTTGAGCTGTGCGATGGCTGCTCCCCGTGTAAACGGAAGCAAAATTATAATTCAATTACGCGACAACGTTTACCGACAATCCCCCTAGGGGGCGATGGGGTAAGACATTGGGCATCGCTTGGCTTTTGCATGTAATTGAATTTGTATCCAAAATTTGGTTGATCGTGTCTCAGTATTTATTTGAATCCCTGCCGACGGATATATAGTGTACTGAAAAATCTCTTATTGTTTCGTTCTTTTTCTTGGTTCTTAACTTTTGTTCAGTTCGAATTCTGAGAATCTTTGTTCTTAAAAAGAAGAAGCAATAAAAAAAAATGGCGGGGAAAGGAAAACCTTATTTCTGGATCATTGCTTATTTCAGTTAGAACATTAATAATGGAAACTTTAATGCAATTAATATCGGGAATTCGTATTTCAAGATGACTTTTTGTTAGCTGGAAAAAAAAGTTTTCTTTTCGTTTCTTTTCCCTATTTTATCTATAAATTAGATATTTAATAACATTATTTGTTTCCCTTCATTTTATTTTGGTTTGTTAACAGATCATACTGAATAAGAAATGACTTTTCATTCGCTGTACTTCATTGGCTTTTTCATATAATCGAAAGAGCCCAGTTTTGTTTTGCGTTTTTTTTATTGTACAGTACCTTATTTTAAATGGGGAAAAAAAATAAAACATGTTCCATGAAAAATTTCCAAATAAATTAGATTTGTTTTTTAATACTATCGTCTATTTCTACAAGATTGAATTATTAAGAAAAAGTAGAAAAATCTCTTTCTTTGTCATAATTTGTATAATCTCTCAACGAAAAAAAGAAAAAAGAATTCAATTTAAATAAATTCGAAATCATATCATATAACCTAAAGCAGATAGTTTTGGAAAATATTAATTTTTTAAGGAAAGACAATTATAATGAAATGTATAAACTTTTTTTAAGATATCTAAAAAGTTATTAAGTTTTTTTTAAAGGAGAAAAGCTTCAGACATATTAGCAAATTCTTCTTAAAACAATAGAGCATAAATATAATTGAATTATTTAATTTTTAAAAGATCATAAAAACTTCGCATTTCGAAATTACCTCAAGCTTTAATAGAATTCATGATAAGCCAGATTAGTTTTTCAAAGGATTTTTTTTTTTTTTTAAGTATTGCTAAATCATATCGTTTTCGTTTATAAACTTTTTCTTCCATGAAAGCTTATTAAACTTAAAAATTTGTTTCAATTATTTGCCTCAAAAAGAATGATTTTTTAGTATCTTTTGAAAATAATTTGGTTTTTAAAGAATTTCGTGCTATTTTTAATTTAAATATTCCTAAGGATATGGAGAAAAAAAACGCAATGATATTCAAAAAATTTTAAAGGAATTTCATTATAACATAACATTTCGATAAAATATGATGTGGGCGAAACGTTTTAAGAAAACCATAACTTATGGTTTTCGTATTTTTGACGTCTTTCGTCGCATAATCTAAATAACTTTCAAAAGAAGTCGAATACTGATTTTATAAATAGATAGCTTTTATTCATATAAATTCTAATTGCGTTTTGTTACATTCCTTTAACTAATGAATTCAATATATTTTATTTCATTGAAAATAATATGATAAAGATGCCTAAAATAATGTTATAAAATAATTATGCTTTATGGATTTTGAAATCATTTTCCTGTTATAAATTAAAACTTTTGGTGCCAAGTCTACAAGTAAAAAATCGCAACTTTAGCCCAATATCATGATAACATTCCACCATTTTATTTTATTTATTTTTTGACCTAAAAATCTGAAAATGTTTTTTTAAAAAAGCAGAAGTTTTACTAAATAACATCCGAGAAAATAAAACGGATGATAACATTAAGGTTTTAAAAATAGCATCCGAGCATGTTTTTAAAATCTTCAAATTTTAGATTTTATAATTTTCTATACATAAAAACTGTATACCTTATTTCTGACCATTTCATTTCTCATTAGATAATAGCAATAATTAAAATTAATAATTGTCTTTGTGTAATTTCATAAGAACGAAAAGTTTTGACTTAACGTTACTTTATTATCCATAACATGCTGACTCCAAAAAATTGATTTATAAAAT